CAGCGAGTACTTTTATGAGTTCGATGAGGCGTATCTATAGTACGTACATTGGCACAGGATTTGTCTATGTCACAATTGCTACTTATAAAATTACTCCTCAGCTTATGTTCCAATTTTTACATATGCTTGCAACCCTTTATTATATCCGGAAAGCTGTCAAGTTTTAAGTACGTTTTATATATTTTTTTATATTACAACTCTAATTTAACAACAAAGAATATTCAAATTGTACTTAATAAATTATACATTCTATATTTTATATATATGTTAATTAATTTTTTTAGAAAGTTAATCTTTATGTATTTTTTTAAATTTACCAATTTAGCAAATACCTTTTTATTATTATAACTTAATCAAATTATTGCATTAAGTGCTCATGAAATATGTATAATTATTTGTCATTGTTTCAGATGACACGTTCGCAAAGGTGATTTGCGCGTTGGTTCTAATAACAGGTTGTTTGTCAATTATTATAGGGCATAAATGCCCTGGTATAGATCATTTATTACCAAGTTGTATAATGAGTGGTATCTTTGGATATATTCTAGCAATAAGTGTCAGTGATCACAGCACTGCAAGTAATTATATACGTCAATCTTTATCAAAATATTTTAAAATATAAAAATTTTTTAATGAAACATATTAATTTATATCTTGAGAAAACATGGGAAGTCTTCATGTCTCTTATCTCTTTCAGTTAACGTTCTGATAGGTTTGACGTCTGCTATACTTACTCTATCTATATCAGCATTGTTTACAAGTTTCTACAAATTAAATATATCATTGCGCAATTTATCATTGGCATTCTTATGCGCATGCATCACGTATCTTTATGCTCCAGGTACGTGTTATATCTTGATTCAAAATGAGAAAACTGTAAGATTTGCAAGCCAATATTAATTAAGAAATATATTGGCAATTTCGCGTTCTTTTTATCTGTTTTTCTTATTTTCTTATATAATATAATATAAACGATAGTTAATTTACATTAGTTAATTCAGTATTATTAGTTTCGCGGCGCGTCACGAAATGCGATCCGGAATACGGTAGACGAAGAAGAATAGGGAAGTGAAGGCGGAATCTCTCTAGGTAGCCTCTCCACGCCGCGGTGCTCGCGAAGGGCTGTTGCGAATTATAGGAAAATAATGAAAGCCAGGCTTAAAAGCGGAGGGATAGAGCCGCGCTGCCACCCCGAAGTTAGTTCGAGTTTGGCGAAGGGATGAGAGGCGCACAGTCAGTTTCTCCCCGTAGCTTCTATCAATGCTGGCCGCTCATGTGGAAACCTCGCCCGCTGAATCCCCCATGCAGAAGCGGCATGGCGCATTCACGTTGCCTCCCACCTTTCTCACCATAACGCCGCGACTACCCTTCTCGTCTACCCTCGCCCAGGCACAAACGCAAAAATGCGCCCGCCGCCGCGAGATACGCGTGCACGCACACGCGCGTAATGCCGGTCTGCCCCGTTGCGCGACTCCCACGTCACGGTATAACCAGTTTGGAAGATTCGCATTTACCTAATTGTGTCCCCGTTTATTTATTCTGTGCCGGGACCTATTTAGATTACACAATACGTGCATGCGCAACTGCACGAGAACGGGGAATCAGACCCGATCCTATCCCGTTGACAGATGATCACGATCATTATTTGCTCACATCCGACTTGCACTCCGCTCCACACGTTACTATAAAACACATGATGATACCTAAGCATTATGATATACCTCTAGGCATCTGTTGTTAAATGGACTATCGAAATTTTGATAATGTTGAAATGTAACAGAAATGTGTCTATGTATAGTATTATTGTTTTTTTGTAGTGTGGATGTTTTATATTCTCCAGAGTAACTGGTTATTCTGGCCATTGTTTATAATCCTAATACTTTTTATAACTTTGATTTTGACGATGATGCTTTATCTCGCTGAAATGATTACATGCGCGACTTTTGGGTCCTTTCTCATAGTCATCGTGATCGATTACTACACCGGAAGTAATTTGAAATATATTATTATTACTATAATCAGAAGGGTAACTATACCCGAATTTCACTTAGCATTTGTATATCCACCATTTCAAAGTGCAGGTATGTCTTCGTTGCGTTCTCTCATATAAAAATAATCCGATTGTGCTCTATCAATCGATTCTATTTTCAGATTTAACTTTGATAATTGTTTGGATTGTTTTAATAATAACACGATTTATTATACAAGGATGCACTCATTTGTGTTGTGGAAATAACTCCGTGATAAAATTTGAACAAAATACTTCAGAAAGGACATTTTTACGATCTAACCGTTATAATAGCTATTCTGGAAGACAAACAAAATCTTACAATCGTCGTCAACATTATTTTAAATATAACCGGCGATGTTATATTTAATATAAATGATTTTGCAAATTCTTTGAAATTACTTTATAAGCCTGCCTAAATAATTATTTTATATCTTATATCTAAATATTTTATATTTTATATCTAATCTATTTTATATTTTATATCTATGAAAATAATGATATAATTTCACTTACCTTTATTTTAAAAAATTGATTCATAAATCGATAACGTACAAACATAAATGATGTATGTACAATATAAATCTGTTTTTCCCATTGTATTGTGCTAAATATTAAAATGTGATATTTTCTTTCAACAGAACGCAAAATTACGTATAATAATACACAACATTTATATAGGATGTTTAACATGTAAATTTTTTAATATTTTTTTAATATGCACGTTTTATTTTTGTTTAACGACCGACGATGTTTGTTTTTTGTTAATACATACATCTAAAGTAACTAATTTTATTTTTTATAACGAATTAAAGTATTATAATTAACAATCATGGATTGTATAAAGTTGTGCGGCATTGTTATAAATTCTTCATAATGATGATATATATGTTTTTCTGATATTTGTTTTTATATTTTTCAATGTATTTTATAAGAGTTTATATAATATTAGTGTGGAATATAATAATATTGTGAATAAAAAATGATGATTTGGCATTAAAATGAAATAACATTTATTGAATCGAGACAGTGACACCTAACAGTGGTTCTCTATTTCCTACTACTTACAATCTTAAAGTTAATCACAGCAACAATATTATCTCATTATTCACAACACTTACATAGATTACTGTCGCAATAATATATTATTCTCATTAATAAACTTGTTAATACTCATACATTGTAGTTGTTATTAGTAATATCATTACAGATAATAAGAAAGTCGCGTAACCACTTCCGCGTAATGTTGGTTGTATAACGATTAAAGCATAATTCCGCCGAAACGCATTTTACATGCATAAAATTGCGGTAACGTTCAATTCGCAAAAGTTTTATGCAAACGCAGATTTACAAAGGTAACATAATGAATGAAAAGTACTTTAATCTACTCGCGAAATGCACAGCCTGTTGCAAGTGCAGCGCCTGTTTGGAAAGGATCTTCATGCAGACGTGTGCGATACAAACCATTCGGTGGATGCGTATCCAATTCATCTCGGAATATTTCTTCGAATATAATAGTAATATAATTTCAATGAACATAACAAGAGTATTCTTATAATTTATTTTCTTGATTTTATTTCTTTTTTGTTTTCGTAATCATAACTTGTAAAAAAGAGCATATAGATCATTCAGAAATCGTTTTAATAGATTAATTAATTTTTTTATTAGGAGCAATTATTACCTAAACACAAAAAATATATATGATAATTTGAAAAGTTAATTAACAAGAATATTGAAATTCATAAAGATGATGTTTTAGTCCACCTCGGATCCTATTTATTCTTTGAATTCTGAGCGCTTTATCTTTCTCGTGTATTTGCTTCTCTTTCACTTTATTTTATTTTTAAAATTATATATATTTATGAGATGGCAATTCATACAAAGTTATAAAATATTTTATAAATTTAACACAGAGAAAAAATAAGATTGCAAAAAAAAATTCTACATGCAGTATAAAAAATTTTCCAAGGATCTTTTTTACATTAGATAAAATTTTTGTAACAAGGAAGTGGCTCTGGCTGTTTTAAATAAAAGTTGTCTCGAATTAGAGTTTATCGTCGCGAGATCGATTTTATAGCGGCGCCGTTTAGATGCGCCGAAGATTTTCTTTCAGCGTTTTAAGTTCACGCTGCCTTTATTTTCGTTTTCTTCCAAAAATATAAATTTACTAATGTACACAGTACATTCACCATTAAGTGCTCTTCACGTATAAACGTTCAACAAGTTTACACGAGCCCTACGTGACCGTGTAAACGCCGACGAGAAACGAGCGACGCTGTTCCGAGTGGCGTAATTTTACACATACTTCACACGTTACCGTTTAACACAATGTATATCGTCCACGGTTATCTATTGGCTGCTGATTAATTGTAGAGAGTTCGTCACCTACATTTATTACGACACGCGTTAGCACTGATCGATAAAACGATCGTTACGCGTTACCGAGAGAAAAAAAGGAAAACATTCGCTTGCAAATATTCACATTGCGAGAAATATCGGAAATGCTGCCTCCTGAAAAAACCTCCATCGAGTTCTGGAACGATAAAATTTCGAAAATATCGAGTCGCTGTTTTCACGCCGTTTTTTCCACACCTACGAATCAGTGACTAATTATTCGATGCGATCGTGCGGCACGACTCAATTACTAAAAAAACGTGCTACTCTCCTGTTAGGTGGTGATCGAAATACATCGATTAAATGGATCACACATATACACACATATACACACCTATTGAAATCACAATAAGGCCGCACAGGTGGTTGGCATCTCTCCTTGCGGTTTTTGAAATTTATATCATTATCTAGTTTCACGAATAATAGAATCGCAAAATTTTTCTCTTCGTGATTACTGAAATTATTATTACAAAAATTTAACAATGTAAGATAATAATATATTGCTATTGTAAAAGAGATTATAATTAAAATAGCAATAAACGCAATTTTCGCTTTATTTTGCAGGATTATGCTTTTAAATAATACGCATGAAATATTATGCAAAATTCCTGTATTTTTTGGATTTTTGTTGGCAATTAATTTTACATATATTTATCTATTGATATTCGTTCCAAAACTCGTGTTTGAACGAAAAGTTCGCGCGTCGACGCATTTCGCGAAATGATATGGGTGAATAAATGTAGGCTCAGATCATTTGATTTTATTGAAGTTTTCTGTTGTTGCACGGTGTAAGTAACGGAGTCGTTACTTCGGTGAGAGGAAACATTGAATACACGGATAAAATGTTGCGTAGTTTATAAGGTAGGTACGTTCGAATGTGTAACTGAAGAATTCATCTAATCTTATTTACGTATATATACAGTGATAATTATTTCTAATTTACAGTACTGGTTTAAAGAGAGTAACAAATGCTATCTTACAATTATCTTTATACAGCATAATCGAAAGAATGTGCTTCGATCGTGTGCGCGGCGACGATTAACGAGTTCGATGCCAATAAGATTTCTCGTTACTGCGAGCACCAATATTCGCGATTCGCTTGAAAGGACGAATCTGCTTTTGCGGTCCGTTACCTCAGCGATACGTTTACATTAATAGCAATAAATACCGACGCAAACGTCCATGCTAATTGCCTCCTTCGGGCATTACACTTACGAAAATCTTTTCTATCTTTTCTACGTCGGTTTATTCTTCACCTTATACGTCACTGTGCCTTCATTATGGTAATAACGATGGTACAAGCTACGGATTGGATTGTCTTAATCTAGAATGTAATCGTGTATTTTGGACCGGGATGAATATTCGTGCGGAGAGACGATTTTTAAATGAGAAGTTTTTTTTAAATCGAACATTTCGGTCTGCTGTCATTGCTCGCAAATCGGTCAAATAGTTTACGCGAAATTTAGAAAAGTACTGTTCGCGTTACTACATCAAGGGAATCTGAAATTGTAATATTGCTATTCTCGATTAATCTTGCACATTGATCTCGATGAGATTTAAATCTAGCATAGTTCGAAATGCACGCGGCAATTCTTATTGTGTGTTTGGTAGCATTTGAAAAGCACGACATATTTCCGCGTAAAGAACCACTTATATTAATAATAATAATATAATATTAAGTATAACAAATAAATAAATAACAGAAAAAAATATAAAAAATTAATTTTTTTTCTTAAAAAAATTGTTTAATTGAAAAGCATGAATAAAAAAATATATATAACATATTATAAATATAAATATGTATAAAAAATATTTCGACTATACCTCTCGAATATTTTCCGCGAATGAGTTGTCGATCGATATTCACTGTTCACAAACGTAGGCTGTAGCCGCAGCATCCTTTCAAGAGAGCGGTGTCTTCCGACGCCATATCTGCCAACAGACACGATGGCCGGCCTCACCGAAAAAAGCCGCCCTCCAGGCAGCTATCAACCCCCCGTAAACCCATTCCCTCCCGCAACGAAATCAGCCTCATCGGGAGACCACCCTAAACTCTCGCGAGAATATATTTCGGCGGGAGCCGCCTACGTGTCTGCGGCTCCCTTTCAATTTCCACGCGGTTCGCGGCCGCCCTTACACGAAGGAAAATATTTGCCGGAAACCGATACAACGTGCGGCAAACAATATGCGCCCGACGCTATCCAATAAATCCGGTAATAAAGCTCCCCGATACCGAAAAACGAGAGCCGCTGTAAATTTAATGAATGCTCTTGACATCGATCGACTTTTGGGAAACTAAAGGGAGAATTCGCGCACGTTGAACGAAGTGAAAAATAACTTTTCCAGCACATTATGGTGCACGTTGAAAAGATTCTTTCATAGCGGTATCGGCAGACAAATATGCGAGAGATTATTTTCAAATTATATATAATGAACATCTTCAGGAAATTACGTTTTCGTATAAACTTGATGACAATGAGTGGTTCTCCATGCGAAAATCCTCGCCATAATAACGATAGTAGCGTAATAACGTAAATCATTTACACACACTATCGTGAATAGATAAATACCCTGCGTGACCCGGGGTCATGCGTATACATCTACGAAATCTAGATCAGACACGAAGTGGAAGATGGATAAAGTCCATTGGTTCCAGCTCGAATTATAAAACTTATTGCGCTGCCTAAAATTTCGCTCTGCGTAATCAGATCGCGTTAGTAAAAAATCTTTTCATTCGGCTTCAAAGAGAATTTAATTGCGATGAGCTGCTGCTTCTCTCATGCAAAAATTTTGCGACATACGTTCCATTACTCATCGCCAATGCGGGCGTTGGCAAATTTATAAATTGTTCAAGAAGGGGGAACCTATCCTATCTCCTAACTCTAATCGAATAGTTTCGTAGATAGGTATTGCCATTCAGAAAATTGACGGTCGTAAACATTCGAGGACGCGAGTTATTAATCCGGTCTACGAGGAAATTATGCACGCGATTAATAATATTAATTCTACAAACGAATATTGTCACTCGAAACTCTAGAAATTAGATGCAAGCATGCTCCCAATGATATTACCGACAAAAAGCTTATTAATTCTTATCAGCTTGCATTTGTGGGTGAAGAGAACATTCGTTAATAAATAAATTACTGCAAAAATGAACAAGTGACATTGTTCAATCAAATGGGAAAATGAAGAAAAATTTCGGATAATTCGCATCACTATTCGAAACTGCGTTCATTCCACGCACAACCGTCACTAACTACGCGTCTTCGATCGACGTCACGCTATTCGCGCGAACCGTCGAAGGGACGAGCTTTCCTCGTAGCGTCTCTCTCTCTTCGCGTTTGCCGTGGCGTCGCGACGGCGATCATCGCCGTCGGCAACCAAGCGCGAGGAAACACCGCGCCCTATCTCGAACAAGAGATCACTCGCGCGACGGGAGTACGGATCGCGGAAATTCAGTCGTTTCACTCACTGGTGTCGGAGTTGTGTACGGGGGTGGTCGCTGGTGTGCTGGGGGCCTGATGCTGCGTCGACTGTGTCGGTATCCCGAGGGATGCGAGGAGCGGTCGTGGCACCGCGCCTGGGGTGGCGCTCGGCGGCGGCGGGCTCTCCTGGCCTACGAGCAAGCTCGCGGGCGGGAACCCGAAGAGCTGGGATCACTGGAGCCTCGGCCAATAGTTGCCCGTCAGGTCCGGGGTCTGCGAGGGAATCTGAACCGGCACCGAGACGCCGGCTGATATCACTCCTGGAACAATCCGAGATGTCGGGGGATTGAGCACGTTTGCGACGGAACGAGAGCTGTCGAGGCTCCAGAAGACGGAACGAGAAGATAAGAAATAACTTCGAAACCGGGTGAAATCGATATCGAATGACAGTATGAATGACAGGATGAATCGTAGCATAACATGCAAGAGACAAAACTTTAATTTTCTAGGGGCGCAATGTTGTTCAATAGTGCTAAAAATTAATTATCCACGAATACAATACAATTGTCTATCTCTTTATTGCTTTATATATTATTAATTTTATCTTGTTATTATGATTTAATTTATTTCACTATTTTATAATACCTCTCGTTGATGATCTTAGTTAGAAGGAAATTCGTTTCAGCGACAGCTATGTCGCGAGCAGAACGCGTCATTAATCGCGTGAAATACAGCGAAGCTAATTCGTCAAAAACAGTCGAGTACGTATTTACGGAAAATGATACGAAACGCACTTGCGCACTATCGCCCGCGGCGACGGTTGCATAAATAGGATTCGGTTATGATAGCGCGCGGCGGCTTCGCACACTTCTGCAATTTGAATTAAACACCTTAACGAGCTGCGTCTAATCCAATATAAACTTCCGCGAAAACATTTACGCTCTACGCGGCCTCGCGTTATAACTTCGTTCCTCGCATGAGCTATAATTATGGCATAAATGCAAGACAGGTAATTTGGCGAACGTTACAATGAAGTCGCGTGCCATAATTACGTTAACCGTGGCATCTACCTTTATTCGGCTGAAAGTTAACATATTCAAAATATCGACGCAGCTAATAATGATACTATATAAAAAAAGAGCGTAATCTTATTTATCATATTTACGCTTCTGAAATTTAATTTGTATATTGAATTACACTTAATTCAAAGGCAATCAATGCCGCGAATAATTTTTTAGTCGCGATTCCTGGATACCGATATTCAATCGCAATTTAATTATGTCACGAACTCCATCTTTGACTT